TTGCCCAAGGACACAACAGCAGCATTCTCTGGTTGGAGCCAGGATTGAACCTGCAACCTTCTGATTACTGGACAATCTGCTCTACCGCCTGAGCTGCTGCTGCCCCTTAGTGGTCAGATGGAGCCAAAGATGACAATAATCATTGATACTATCAATAAAAGTGGCACTATGATGCGCAGGGAGAGGCCGATGAGAAACTCCAGAACTAAGAGGAACATTTAATGAAAACCTTTAAGGCTTTTAGGCAGGAAATGTTCATCATACCAAGCAAATACCAGCCTGCCGGTTGGCTCATTTCCTCTGTAACATGCCGGTTTGAGGAAACCCTGACAGCTCTGCAGGAACATCGGTTCGCACAATAAATATGACATCCCATTATTTACTTAGTTTTGAGAGTTCTAGCCAAGACAATTTAGCTTTGGCACATTTTTTTTACTCAAAACCAAAAAATGTGATCATATTTGACAATATTTCCTTTATTTTAAACCATACTGTTTTCCTAGACAAGATTTGTTTCTTTTTAGACTAAATACAAGATAAAATGTCAACAAATTAGGTGTTTTTATTTTCTTAGAAGTCCGTTTTTGCTGAGTTCATGGCAAAGCAGGAGACAGCACGGCTCTTATGATAAAGGTACAGACAAAGTATTACATGCACCTGATCCACATCAATATGTTGTAAATAAACATAGGCTACATCTAGAATCCTACAAGTCAATAATTCATAACAAAACGTTGCGTGAACCAGACAGCAATGAATACGCAAGACTGTACTCCCATAACAGCAACAGTGTCACAATGCCACCATAAAAATAAACAGGCATGCACAGCTAGTGCCTCTGCAGCACACACACACACACACACACACGCGCGCACACACACACACACACACACAGTCTATTGACCAGTATTTGTCACTTGCTATATATTTTGCTGGGAGCTAGTGAGAGGCTTCAAGTTGGCGACGCTCAGGCTTTTCTAGCTGCAAGTGTTAGACCAGCTAGTGTTCACTCCACTTTGTCAATTCCCTGTCATCTTGTAGCTCTGAGACATGTCCTCTCTAATGCTGCCCACCTCTCAGTGCACAGCCACCAGGAAACACCCCCTCCACCCCCCAACCATCCCTGACAAAAGCCTGCTTGGCCTCTCCATCATGAGTGACAGCCGAGGGAAGACAGCTTGGCTGCTTCTCTGCTCCTCGCTGCAAACACAACATGTGGTTGGAACAAACATTCCACCCAACGATCACGGCTGCTCTGTTGTTCCTTTTGTCAGCAGGACAACATCACAAAGGCCATTCACGAATTCTCCTCTCAAAATGTTTACAGTGTTCTCTTAAAGAGCACATTACAGGTTGGAGCCTCCCTTGGAGCAATGTTTAGAGAAACATAAAAGGAACTTGTTCTAAATAAAAATGTACACATACATAAGGTATTTAGGCTTTTGGAGTCATTGTTGTGAGAAATAACAGTTTTTCTGTTGAACCAGGCATGGCACAGGCAGAGGGAGTCCTGTTGGCTTAGTCCAGAGAACAATATGGACTCTAATGGCAGCTCTGACACAGTAAATGTTTATAATTCTACTTATGATGGACCACAACCATATGGCTATGAGCCTGCTGCACGCCCCAGAGAGCAGCGACAAGCCAGAGGGAGAAATGATGGACGAAGGAGAGAGATTTAGCTGTGGTGTCGGGAGGTTCTGTGGAGGAGCAGGTGTCTCGCTGGGAGAATGAAGCTAGCTAGCTAGCTTAAACTTGTGTGAGTTCCAGCATGAAAACACTGCAGCGTGTTGTACGCTCTGCTGAGAAGGTCATTGGCTGCTAACTCCCCTCCATACAGGATCTGTACTCCTCCAGATCACTGAGGCATGCAGGTCGGACCACAGCTGACCCGTCTCACACGGGACAGTCTCTTCTACTTGCTCCATCTGGCAGGAAGCTCCGATCCATCCGGACCAGAACCTCTCGCTACAACATGAGTTTCTTCCCCTCTGCTGTCAGACTCATGAACAACAATCGTATCTGTAGCTACACTGACTTGTATAAAGTAGCTGCTTCACTAATTATTGATTCCCTTTATTATTATTTCATTGAGTTTATTTCTTAATTCTACTTTTTACTTATTTATTTATATTTTCCTGCACCAGGTACCGCAGCAGTTTCCTAAAGCTGTTATTCTCACACACGAGTCTGACTCCTATTCTGATTCTGAGTTTGAATCTGATTTAGAGTCTGATTCTGATTCATAATCTGATTGTGATTCTTTTTCTTATTCTGATTCTGGGTCTGATACGCAGCTTCTAGGAACTTTTGAATGCTCTCCATCCACAACTAGTAAACACACACACACACACACACACACACACACACACACACACACACACACACACACACAAAGAGAGAGACTCAATAACACGACCTCTCTACCAGAAAACAACCTACTGGCTACACCTAGCTTAAGGCAGGACTAGCTTAAAACTCCCCCTTGTTACGTCAGAGGTTTTTGGAAGCTTTGTTGAAAAGGGCACTTTTTACTCAAAACAAGGGGCTAGTATGTATTGTAAACAAAATACCCACAATAAGCGCTTCAAATAGTGTGTTTTGGACAGCATTTTATATGACATTCAAATATAATTTAACCTGCACTTAGCTCTTAAGCAATAAAGCCATCGTTACAGCATCTGCAACAGCTGGTTATAAAACATCTAGTCTGTAAGCTGAGGAAGCCGTCACCGTGCATGATCACCAACAGGCTTTAATTAGCTAATAGCTATTATTAGTTTTATCATTTGAGAAATCATATTTCTTAACTTAACTTATGACATGAGGGTGCAAATGTGTGTCTCAGGCAAGCAAAACAAAATAAGAAAAAATAAAAATATATTCAATTAAATTACAGCCATAAATGTTATGTTAAAGAAAACTTTGGATTTTAATAGTGTTTCTCTTCGTTTTATAACAAAAATTAAAATAACCTAAATAAATAAACAAATTCAATTATAAATGGAGCCTTTCCTATTCCTGAAAACATCTGTTGTCTGGGTTCTAGATTCATGGGTTCTGGATTCTTGGGTTCTGTCAAAATTACAAGCAGGGTTTCTACCACAGAGAAGCGATTGACTACATTTGTAATGTCATTTACATTATAATCATTATGTCCATTGTTATATTACTGTAATTATTGCTGTAAACTACTTTATAACAATATATAATAAGGGACATTTCCTAACAGGATGAAAATTGCAAAAGTCATACCACTTCATAAAAGTGGAGACAAACATATCTTTTACAACTACAGACCAATATCTTTATTGTCACAATTCTCAAAAATACTAGAAAAAGTATATATTGCTAGGTTGGACCGATTCCTGATCAAAGAAGATATATTAAATGGCAGTCAGTATGGTTTTAGAACAAATCATTCAACATCCATGGCATTCATGGAATTAACAGAAGAAATATCGGAAGCCATTGACAAAAATACTCATCTCATAAGTATCTTTATTGATTAAAAAAAAGTATTCAATACAGTGGATCATAAAATTTTAATTAAAAAACTTGGTAAATATGGCATCACAGGGATGGCCCTAAAATGGATAACTAGTTATCTTACCAATAGGCAGCAGTATGTTCAAATAAACAACACAAAATCACATATAAATAACATAACTTGTGGTGTACCACATGGGTCGGTATTGGGCCCTAAACCATTTATCATTTATATAAATGACATTGTTGAGGCATCCAATTCATTAAAATGCACCTTATTTGCAGATGAGACAACTTTTTACTATTCAGGAGATAATGTTGAGCAGATGATAGAAGTGATGCAAACAGAGATGAAAAAAATTAAACTAAAGTTTGATGGGAACAAACTATCATTAAACAGTGATAAATCCTGTTTTATGATATTTAGTAATACAAATTCAAATGATGAAATTTTATTAAATATAGATGAGATTAATATTAAAAGAGTTAAATAAGTCAAGTATCTGGGAGTCATCACTGATGAAAAAATGTCTTTGAAACGGCATATAAACAGTGTCAAAACTAAAATATCTAAAACTGTTGCACTGTTACATAGAGCAAAAGGGTTGCTTGATAATAATTCCCTATATTTGTTATATAACTCACTGATCATACCATACCTGAACTACTGCATTGAAATCTGGGGAACAACATATAAAACTTACACAAATTCCATTTACATCTTACAGAAAAAAGCAATAAGAATAATCACAAGGAGCAACCACAGAGATCCGTCCAATCCATTATTTATTAAATTAAAAACACTAAAATTCTATGATCTGGTGGACTACAATATTTTAAAATGTATGTACATTGCAAACAAAGGGCACGCACCTGCAGGTTTAATCAAAAGATTTACAAAAAGACAGCAAATATGATTTAAAAGGACATGAATTATTTAATATACCTAGACATAGGATACTCATAAAGGAATATTGTGTCTCCATATATGGAGTTAAAATATGGAATAAATTAAATACTGAAATCAAGAATGCAAAAACAATACTGACTTTCAAAAAAGATTAAAAAAAGAAATTATTAACTTATATAGATCTGTTTCATAAACACGTGAGGGGAGGGTGGTTGGGGGGTGAAAGAAAAAAAGGGGAAAAGGGAACAAGTCTATGTATGCATATGTGTATATATGTAAATAACTTTATGCTGTGTAACTTGTTTTCTCTCTTTTTTTTTCAATTCATGGGTTGAGGTTGTGTCGGCAAACCAGTCCAGAAACAATATTGTTCATATGTTTTTAAGAATCATATGTTTGTTTTATTTGTATTAATCTTATTTTAGTTTAAAGGGACAGATAACATGCTTTTCTTCTTTCTGTCCCCTTTTTCATTTTGGCTTTTAGAAATCTAGTTTTGTATTTTTATTTTAATGTCAATAAATGAAAATAAAGTTGAAAAAAAATATATATATATAATTCAAATTCATTTAACAATAATAATAATATAACTTGATCCTACCTGAACCAACACAAAGAACCTCTTCTTCCATCTTTTCCACACATTTTTTCCAATAGCCCAAAGGTACCTGTGGAGGTAGATGATCATTGTATTAATACAAGAATTTATATCTTTATTTATTGTGGTTAGGATAATGGTTTGTGTACAGCTGTTTCAGTCTTTGTCCTCGCTGATGCTGGACAGCTGAGTGCACCAGGCTGAACAGAGGACAGTGTCTACTGGCCTCTGCTGGTCACAGATTGTCACTGCAAGCTTTACATATTTGTTCTTTTCAGGGAAAAAGCCTCCAATGTGACAAATTTGACAACCTGTTATATTACATATTTCACACAAAAAGTGATGTGTGCATTATTTAGGGATGCCATACAATAATGTGCATGTGTGTGTTGAGAATTTCTGGTCATTAGTGTTCTACAGTGTCCCTCCAATGTGGCCCAGTCTCAAAATGGCAGTTTGACACGGGTCTGTGTGGGCATGTGTGTGCAAACATGCATTCACATGAGGAATAAATTAGTTTACAAATACTCAGATGAACAATGTATGCTGACTTTTCAGCAAGTGCATGCAGGTGGGGGCGAGGTTCATGCACTATGTTGAAGTCTTCCACTTTCAGCAAAGGCTTGCCATATTACAATAAACATTCAATTTGCTGCAAAAATCAAATACTTACAAATGTATTTTTGCATATTGTAATATGAACCAGCAGAAAGCAATCACCCTGATGAAAGTTGTAAGAGGAAGGCTGAAAAACATCTAGGCATAAATGTTCAATTTCTTTACACAGGTGCCTGGCTGACAGAAAGTTTACGTAGAAACTCAGATCGGATTCATTTACTTGTACTGTAAGCCTGAGAGACAATAACAGGTAATTCAAATGGCACGGTGAAACAAACCTAAAACAGCTCAATAATCAGAAACAAGGCATAAGGGCAGGAGCCGCCAACCTGCTGCCCATAGGAAGCCTATAAGGTGCCCTCAGGCCTATTCTAAAATAACCCAACTCACTGCTCAGCAGTGTCTAAAATATTGTTTTCTGCTGCTGTTTCATAAATAGCACTGTGATTAAAACCATGGCAGCAGAGACGGCGTACAGAACTGTGGGAACTACAGAAGAACAAAGCTAACGAGTCCTACAAGGAAGCTCTGGGGGAGAGTCGTGGAAGCTAGGCTTTGGTCATCTGAGCAGTGCTGGGCAAGTTACTTCAAAACTGTAATGCATTATTTATTACTTGTTACCCTCATTTTAAAGTAATTAATTACATTACAATATTACTGATTTTAAAATGTAAGGCATTACACTACTTTTGCATTACTTGAAGTAACTTTCACCAATACAACTTCAATATGAATCTGGTAATGTGACGCTCAGTGAGCTCATGACATATATGTGGAAGGTGATGTGGTGTCTGAGTTAGGATTGCTGTTAAAAACAGTCAGATATAATAACAGTGCTTTAAAATGATTGTTTATTAAATAAAAGCAACAACAATCTGTACTCTCAGCACGCTGCCATCTTATATTAACCGAGCAGGGAGTGAGGTGGTGGGGGCTCCAAGCCTATGTTTGCCTTGGTCCCCAAATGCCTTGATACGGCCCTGGATGTGGGACTGACTTCTGGGGTGATCTGATTCTATCACATGTATAAATATTAAATGCTTATATATTATTGCTTTTCGCTGGTAAAAATGTGTTTTGGGGATAAATCTACTTTTTTCTTTTCAAGCACTTTGTTTTGTTTTCTTGATTTTATGTGAATAATTTCCTGCCCTTTCTCTCTCTAGCCTTCCTGCATGCTACATGTTTTCTCCGTCTTCCAGAAAAACTGTTTCCTAGATTTCTTACTTTCTAACTAATCAGCCAGGGATCTACCGAACGCAAAAAAAAAAAAAGAAGAAGCTTAATACGCGCTGCGCTCCAGCAGCAATGAGTTGAAATCACCGGGGCACAGATTATGAACTCAGCTGAAAAGTACATGAAGTACCAGAGAATATGGGCTGATATAAACGATCGCAAACGAATGACTTTGTTTTGGTGGAGCGATTTTGTGAATATAACAGCGGCGGCGTGCAGGACGCAGCTGGAGTATTTGAGCCGTTACCGCTGCGTCCTCTCTGCTCATAGAATGCCCGCAAAGCTGAGTCCATAAATGACGTCATATATGTGGATACTGGATCTTTTTTCAGGCTTCCTGCAACTTGAATTGTTAGGAAACCCGCATCTTGATTCTGGTTTAAAAATGCGTTGTAATTACCGCGTTACTGACAACTGTACCGAGTAAATATTACCATTTTCTGTCCCTGTAATGCCTTACATTACCACATTACAGCAAAAAGCAATGCATTACAGTAATTAATTACTTTTGTACCACGTTACTCCCAACACTGCATCTGAGAGCAGCAGAACAGTTTGATGTCAAGGAAGATTACTACAGATCCAGTGAGATGCTTACGTTTGGGCAGCCCTGTTAATCTTCATGATTTTCCGGTATAAATCGCTAGTTGTGACATTTATGTTTATGTATTTAGCAGACGCTTTTGTACAAAGCGACTTACAAGTGATTATCGGCATGTTACCCTTGTGGCTAACAACAACAATAACTACAACAACTTGACATCAGTCATGGAGAGGAGGGAACAAGGAGTGGACAGTAGAGAGGGGGGACGGGTGCAGGGAGGGTGCTAGTCAAAGAGCAAGTAACGTCTAAATAAACTTTTTTTTGCTGATGAACTGTATAAATGTGTGTCTAATAGTGTTTTAAATGTGTGTATTCATTATTTTAGCATTTTGGTGCATTTTCTTTAAAAATTGAAAATTCTGCCTAAATACCACAGTATAGCGCCACCTTCAGCTTAAAACATAGAGTTTGAGTCATTTTGAATACACTTTAGCCAATGGCTAAAGAGTAAGATACTACGTAAACCAGTAGAGTACTACGTAGCAGCTCTGTGTCAAAGTTATAAAAGCATCGAGAGTCTCGACCACGCCTTGTGACGAGTTGGGAGTTGGATTTGCAAGCGAGTGTAGGACGGTTAGCGATAGTTCAGCATTAGCATATAGCATTAGCATATCCTAATCTTTAGCATAGCTTTCAGTGTTATACATACTTATTTAGTGTTAGCTTGGCTGTTAGATATTTTAGTTTAGTTAGTGTTTGGCTGTTAGTGTAATTAGGAAAGTAGTTCGGGTTTAGTGTTCCATATCATGTTAGTATGGTGAGAAGGTGTAGTGTAGTGGGTTCGGTGGCTCTGTGGGGTTGCACTCCTTTCCGGTGGACTTAGAAATTAGGTGCCAGTGATTGCGCGCAATCGGTGTACTGGAAAACAGGCAGCTCCCGCCTGGTGCTGTAGTTTGCAACCAGCATTTTACCCGCGATTCCTTCGCCAACATGATGGAGTTTGAACTGGGTTATTCTGCACGTCTCCATTTGAAGAGGGAGGCCGTGACAACTGTGGCTCTTCCGCGATTTAGATGCAGCCCACCGACTCTGCTCCCCCACTATGACGGGCTACAGTCTGAGGTGAGTAAGCTAAAGAAAAGTTAACATCTTCTAAAGACAATTCCCTACCTAAATGCAAAGTTTGAAAGACGTGGTTCACTTCATTTAGCTAATATCAGCCTGCACTGCCTTCGGGCAGATTTGTCAAGTTCACAAAATGTGGAGCGGGATGTAAGGTTAGAATCAGCGGCGAATCGGAACATCTCGAAGCCCTGGCCGACGAAACGGTCCACATGACTATTACTGTCAGGCTCAGAGAAAATTCGGGTTGTTTTTGTGTCAGTCGGTAATTCTGCAACAGTGGCTCTAACTAACGCAGCACTAGTTGACAGACATCATTACAGCGTGAAATCCAGCTTTACACCACAGCGTGACCCGGTTCTGTAAGGAATTCTGTTCAGGAGGCCGCATTTCAGGCTCTTCACATCATATGTGACTGACTTTTACGTTATAATAACGATCACACACTAGGAATGTTATAAAGCGCCTACCGTAAATCCTCTAATACAGGCCCGGGCCTGTATTTGACTCAAGCTCATCAAGCTCCAGGCCTTTATTGGAAGGAGGACCAGTATTAGAGGCAGGCCTCTATTTCTATTTGAGCAAAATGAACTAATGGTTCGCTGGAGTTTTTGACAATTAAAATTGTGCCCACATTTTCAAAGTTAAACACATTTCTTTTAACAACGGTAGTTTCTGCTTCAGGAAATGAGCCGACATGAACGATCGCGTGTAAAATTAGTTTTTGAGGTGGCGACACCTAATTTGATAATGTTACTGTGGCCGTGCTCAGGACGCAGATCTACCGACCGCAAAAACAGCGGAGTGCTCGCTGCTTGGCGGCCGCATCAGTGATCGGTGCGTCACCGGATGACAAGGTGATGCGCCCCGCTCCACAGCAGCGAAACGCATCAGTCGCAAATAAAAGACAGAAAACATTAAAGGAAATGAGCCAACATGAACGATCGCGTGTCAGTACCGACGCTCTGGCACAGTGCGTTGCCCCCCCGAGCGCAGGAGCTTGTCACCTGCTGACAGCAGGCTGCTGTCTTTTCCGAGGGCTGCATCTTGCCGGTCATTATCACGTGAGAGCGACTAGTCGATGACAGGCATAAAAAGTCACCATAGTGAAGTCGACTAGTTCATACAACCCCTACTGCTCCCCAGTGTTCTGCAGCATAATCAGCACGTTCTCTTTGAACTTGATTTCAAATTTTCACCGCCTCTTCGTCTCTGCACCTGCCAAATCGCGGTCTGTCACTGGCAAATCAAAAGTGAGACGGATGACACAACCGCCCCTCCTGTGCTACTTGCTTGTTACCACATTCCACCCAGCCACAATAAAATACCGGCCATTATTCACCTCCGCCGACTCCGACACCGGCCAACATATGATACCCGGCTGTTAATTGAATACAGGCCAATATTAGAGGATTTACGGTATATAGGACAGTTTCTTTTGTATATTATCTATGACTTCATAAACTCCAACAACAATGTACTTCTATTTTTTCCCCCAGGCTAAATCTACCCAAGACATGGGCTGTCAGACTGATTTAGTAGTCTGCAAG